CTTGTCACATCCCTAAAAATATCCCCCTATAAATAGCAAATTATCCAACAATGGCACCAGGGCAACCACCCCAAAACCTCCAGGGCAGAGCTTCAGACGTGAACGTTTCCCCGGGAGCTCCTCCAAGGGATGAGCAGATCCTTCTTTCCCCGTGCCCTTTTCCAGCTGGATTTTTTGGGGTTTTTTTGGGAGCAGCTGCTGCAGCCAGCACTCATTTGCTGTTGGAAGCTCGTTGGGAGGTCTGTGCTGGCAACTGGCTCTGGAATATTTTTTTTTGAAGTCCTAAAAAGCCAAGAATTAGAGGAGAGGGAAGCAAAAAGGGTCGGCAGGATTCACACCCCCAGGGCTCTGAGCTCGGGAAATTGAGCACAGGGACAAAGTGACCACACTTGGCTTTTTAAAGTCTTTCCAAAGGCAAATCCTGCCCTTGGGAGGCTCAGGAATTTTGGGATTTCTGAGCAGAGCACCCCACTTCACACACCTGTGCACAGGTGGATCCGTGTTGGGGAGGGAAGGTGAAATTCCAAACCAGATTAATTCAGAAGTGCAGCACATTTCCCCACGTGGGATATTCCAAGGGATTTTTCCAACCCCTTCAGGCATTCCTGCCCAGGAATTGCTTTTCCTTTGAGCAAAAGAGGAAAACCAGTTTAAAATAAACCCTGCAGACAGCAGCATTCCAGCAGCAGGAGCTCATTCCTCACAGGAAACGTTTGGGGCTCCGGCTCTGCTCGGCAGAATCTCCAAAAACCCCTCCAGAGTTTCAAGGATCCTCGGGACAAGGGGCCATGGAAACAACAGGGCTCATTTCAGAGCTATTTTTAAAAGAGTTTTTTTTTGCTTCTGGGATGCCAATTTCCAGGAGTTGTTTGGAAAAATGAGATTTTTAAAAACGTCCCCACGCCAACGGAACAAACTGTGCTGGAGCAGCAGCTCCCTCTGCTCGGGGTACTCCAGGGATGCCTTTGACTTTCCAGCTTCCTTTCATCCAAAAAAATTTTTAAAAGTCACCTTTTTGTGCTTTTAGAGGGCAAAATAGCAACGAAAAAAATTAAATTTGTATTTCAATCATTCAGTTTTAGCAAATGCCTGCAGCTGTTGCAAGCAGATCAAACCAGGGACAATCCCCTTCCCTGCTCCTGAGGTTTAATGGGATTATTTCAGCCCAGGATCCAAAGGGGATCTTTTCTATCACGGACAACATCCCAAAAACGGCTGGAATTTTAAAATCCACGCCAACAGCATCCCAAAAACAGCAGGAATTTTAAAATCCACGCCAACAGCATCCCAAAAACAGCAGGAATTTTAAAATCCACAGCAACAACATCCCAAAAATGCCTGGAATTTTGAAATCCACACCAACAACTGTGTGGCAGGGGAAGAGGAGGTGAAAGAGGATCCAGCTGAGGGGAATTCCTGACACTGTAAATACCAGACAGGATGCTGAGGTTTGGGATTCGTGGAGTGCCCTTGGAAAAGCCAGCAGGAATTTGCAGTGTTCTGACAGCAGCTGAAGGCTGCAGAGTTATTCCATAGGTTGCTCCAACAATCTGGGAATTTCTCCAGTAAAATATTAAGTATCAAGTTGTTTAAAATCCCTAAAAACACGCCACAAAAAGAATCCTGAGAAACCAGGGAGGGGATATTCCCCTTTTTATTTCCAGCTGGGAAAAGTTCACCAAAGAAAATGGGGAAAGGAGGAAAATCTCCAGAGGGAGGATTTGGAAGCAGGGTTTGGGGTTAAATGTGGCTGTTTCACCTCAGAGCCACTTCTGAGGTTGTTTCAATGTGGTTCGTGTTACACAAGTGCCCTCAATCTTCCAGGATCAGCAACTTAATGCAGGCAATTAGTGAAAAAATTAAATGTCTTAATGACCCCTGGGAAATGGGATCCATCCGTGATTCCTGAGCCAGGGCAGCTCCATTTCTGCAGGATATAAATCCCAAAAAAAAGGGGATTTGTGCCACTTCAGGAACAGGGGGGGGAGAATTGAGAGCATGAAAAGCTGCTCCTAAAAACCAGAAAGGTGTGGGAGAGTCCTGACTGGCACCACAAAGATCAAAAAAGGGAGAAAAATCAGGAGCAGGGGCTGGAAAAGAGCTCTGGGATCAGCAGTCCTGGGGGGGCCTGACCCCACCTTGTCCCAGCCCGGGGCTCCGAGTGCCACCTCCAGGGATCCCAAACCTCCCTGGGCAGCTCTTCCCAAGGTTTAACAACCCTTTCCAGAGGAAATTCCTGCTCATGTCCCACCTGGGGCTGTTCCCTCCTGTCCTGGTGTCCTCTGGGAGCAGAGCCCCTCCTGTCCCCTCCTGCTGGGGACGTGTGGGCATTGGGAATGTCGCCCTGATCCCGCTTTTCTCCAGGCTGGGCCCTTTCCCAGCTCCCTCAGGAATTCTCCAGCCCCTTCCCAACTCCCTCAGGAATTCTCCAGCCCCTTCCCAGCTCCCTCAGGAACTCTCCAGCCCCTTCCCAGCTCCCTCAGGAATTCTCCAGCCCTTTTCCAGCTCTCTCAGGAATTCTCCAGCCCCTTCCCAGCTCCCTCAGGAATTCTCCAGCCCCTTCCCAACTCCCTCAGGAACTCTCCATTCCCTTCCCAGCTCTCTCAGAAATTCTCCAGCCTCTTCCCAGCTCCCTCAGGGATTTTCCAGCCCTTTCCCAGCCCCTCGATGTCTCTCTGGATGCTCAGCTCACCCCCAGCATTAAATCCCCCTCCATCACCACAGGTTCAATTCCACCCCTTTGTGCTCCATAAATATCCCCAGATCCAGGTCCAGAGCTGGACTTGTCACATCCCTAAAAATATCCCCCTATAAATAGCAAATTATCCAACAATGGCACCAGGGCAACCACCCCAAAACCTCCAGGGCAGAGCTTCAAATCCTCTGTCAGGTCCCTCCTGAGAAATGAAATCCACACTTCCACACTTCCACACAAAGTCCTGAACAAAGGTTTGCTCTGAGCTGGAGCACAAACATTTCCCACAAGAAATTACAACAAGAACGACCTCCCCGAGTTCTCCTCTTTTTGTTTTTCCCTGTTTTCCTCCTGGTTTGGATGAAACCTGTGACTCACAGCGAGGTTCCCCTCCTGGAGGACACCCCAAGTGCACAAACCGGGGCAAAGGGACATTTTTGGGTTTTTTTTAGGAAAGTGAGGCAGGAGGAAGCGCTGCCGGGGATGGAGGGAAAGGACCGGCGGTCACATGAGGATGTCCAGCCCCCAAAGCAGCTGCTAATGAGTGTCTCAGTTAATTACTCGACTCCCTGGGATGAGGAGCTCGGGGCTGGCAGCTCAACCACGGCTCCACTGCCAGGGACACAGTGCCCTCTCTTGGAGACTCCAAATCCAGCCTAAAGCCGGGACTGAGGACAAAAACCCTGGAATCGCCTAAAAAAAAAAGATTTCTGCCCAAGAAACAACTCTGGCCTGGCTGGGTATTCCTTGGAGGAACAGGGGAACACCTCTGGAGCTGCTCCCGAGGCAGGTCAGTGACTGTGACCTTGATTAACCTTTGCATCTTCCTATCAAAACTCGGATCTTTTCTTAAAATTAAGGAAGATGGAGAATATTGGAGCACCTAAAGAGTGGTGATATTGTGGTGTCACAGAGGGGTTTGGGATGGAAGGGACCTGAAGGATCAGCTAATTCCAGGAAAAAGAATGGATTTGTTTTAGGAAGAACAATTCCAGTCAGAGGCAGCAGCTCCACATCAGATTTCTGTGTGTGCCCAGGGCCACCTGAGGCACCTGGTCACCACCTCTCAGTGCAGGGGCAGTGCCCACTGCCCACCTGGCACAGGTGACCATGGACAGCGGGGCTGCCCCGTCCCAAAGCTGGACAGGGCTTGGAGCAGCCTGGGATGGAAGGGAAGGGACTGGAGGGGCTTTGGGATCCTTCCCACCCCAATTCCAGGTGGGAAATGCCCTGATTTGGGGCTCAGGAGGTGTTTGGGTGTCCGTGGGTGCTGCTGGCACCTACCTGGGCAGGTGTTCCCACCTCACTCGCTGCAGGGAGGAAAGGACAAATCTCCTAAAATAAAATAAAAAATAAATAAATTGAGAGAATTTTCAGCAATTGAAAGGATCCTGCAGGGAATTCCAGCTCCTCTCAACACCAGGTTTGATCCCACCAATTAAAGCACCTCACACCTTTTCCCCATCTCCATCATCCCAGTTTTTCCCTGTGTTTTCCCTGTTTTCTCCCTGCTGGAATCCAGCCCATTCCTGAACTATTTAAAGCACCTCACACCTTTTCTCCCATTTTCAGCAGCCTCTTTTTCCCCTGTGTTTTCCCTGTTTTCTCCCTGCTGGAATCCAGCCCACTCCAAATCAATTCAAATCCACTCAGCCACATGAGGAGTGTGTCCTTTGGGGTGGTTTATTTACATTTCAGTATGTTCAGGACCTGCCTTTGAGATTTTTTTGGCGGATGAAATCCTAAAAGTCCTCGCAGGAGAGGTTTAGTGAGGATGATGCAGGTGGTACTTGAGGCTTTCTCCATGCTGATCCATGGAATGTGGGATAAAAAAACCCCAATTTCTATCGGCTTAGACCTGGCTTTGAACACATCGATTCCAAAAGAGATTTTTTTGGTGGGAAGGGAAAAGCCTGGCAGCTCCCAGGCTGTCACCTGTGCAGTTCCACATCCGAGTCTGAAGATGGCTCCATTGGAATGAGGATCCATCCATTCATCATCCATCCATTCATCCCTCCATTGCTCCATCCATACCTCCAGCAATTCATCCATCCATCATCCATCCATCCATCCATCCATCCATCCATCCATCCCTCCCTCCATCTTCCTGTTGGGGACTTGTGGACATTGGGAATGTCCCCCTGGTCCTGCTTTTCATCCATCCATCTCCATCAATCATCCATCCATCCATCCCAAAACTCCACCAGGAGTGGAGAACCAATTCCAGGGATTTGTCCCAGGAGGAGGAAGCAGCCCCATCCGTGACATTCCTGAGGCTGGCAGAGAGGAGTTGCAACAAAAGAAACTGGGGAAAAATAACCTGAGCGACTCATGGAAGTGAAAGACAAGGAGAGTGACAAAGATTTAAGGGAAGAAAGGGAAGAGGAAGGCAGAGCTGCAGCATTTCATCTTCTGTTCCTCCCCACAACGAGCCAATTAAAAAGCCCACACACTAAATTAATTCCAGTTCCAGGGGAGCTGGAAATACAGAGCCACTATTTAGGTTAGGGAAAATTGCTGCATTCTGTTCCTTTGTCAGGTGGCAGAGAATGACATCTGCAAAAGGGAAAAAAAGAAAAGAGCAGAGTTGGGGCCCCAGCCCAGCAGAAGCAAAGGAAGCAGAGGGAATTCAGGGGAGGGTTTGAGGAGCCTCATCCCCACGGACACGGGGCCAGATCTGTGCAAAGATCCTGATGTTCTCCCCACAGCCTGGCTGCCCCACCACTCTCCCACCTCATCAGTTCCTTGGTTTGTTCTGAACAAGTGGCCAGGATGTGGTTACGGAGCTGTGCTTCCCTAAAAACCTTCCCAATGTTTCATTTATTGCTGGGAAAACACCTCTGATAAAACCCAGCCCCACCTTGGAGCTGTGCTTCCCTAAAAACCTTCCCAATGTTGATTTATCCCTCAGAAAACACATCTGATAAAGCCCAGCCCCATAATGGAGCTGTGCTTCCCTAAAAACCTTCCCAAAAACCCCTCTGATAAAACCCAGCCCCTCCATGGAGCAGTGCTTCCCTAAAAACCTTCCCAATGTTGATTTATCCTTTGGAAAACACCTCTGATAAAACCTAGCCCCTCCACGGAGCTGTGCTTCCCTAAAAACCTTCCCAATATTTCATTTATCCTTTGGAAAACACCTCTGATAAAACCCAGCCCCTCCATGGAGCTGTGCTTCCCTAAAAACCTTCCCAATGTTGATTTATCCTTTGGAAAACACCTCTGATAAAACCTAGCCCCACCGACGTCAGTTGAGATTTGTCATCGGCTCCAGGGTAAATATCCCAGCCAGGTTTGTGTTCCCACTCTGTCCCAGCTGGAACTCTGGGATTTAACTCCTCAGCACTTCCAGCAGAAAATCCCTCTGCTCCGGGCAGAGAAACCCCCGATTCACACTGGAATTTTAAGGGAATAAACCTACAAATTATTATCCCAGCTTGTTTCCAAGGGTGACAAAAACCAAGCAGGGGAGCAGGAGGCCTCGGGGCAGTGCCAGGCTCGGCTGCCCTGAGGGAACTGCTCCCTGTGTAATCATTAACAGCAGAACCTGCCGGATAAAAAGCAGGGAGCAGCACCTGGAGCAGGGAAGCACTGGGAGCCTGGGATGCACCAGGAAGCTCGGGATGTTTGCCTGTTCCTGTTGTGGCCCTGCCCTGGGGACAGCAGAGATGGCAACTGGAGAAACTCATCCCTTTGGGAACTGGGAAAACTCATCCCTTTGGGAATTGGGAAAACTCATCCCTTTGGGAA